GTTGTCTTTCATGTATCTAACCCTGTTCCAGAGATTACTGTGTATATCAATATCGTGTTAATCAAAATATGGTATCTGTGTTAAGTACAGACAACCGGTAAAGCTGCATAGATTAAAACTTCTGCCGCAATTAATTTCGTGCGTTAATCAATTCCTGCGTTAAGAAAGGAATACCTGTATATACAAATTCGCAATGTTAGATTAATAAATAACAATTTTATAATATGTCAAATTTTGAACTCGCCTCATGAAAAAATTGTAAAAGTGGAGATAAGACGTAATAATTCTCAGCCGTCGATATGTGAAATGTTTTGTATTTCACAAAAATCATTCAATGTTTTCGTGGAGTAACATTTTCCATTTCTGTCAGTGTATAACATTAATTGATTTTATTCCACAGTTAATAATTAAAATAAACCTTTGTAGTAAACGTGATAGAATAAAAAATGAATTTTGCACAAATATTAAAAATTGAATAGGACCTGTCCAAAGTACACACCAACAATTAAACTTGCAACTAAAAGCGCTCACGGGGAGATGCCGTGGGAAGGCAATTAAGAGAAAAGAAGCCCTTGATAGGAAGAAATGGAAGAAATGTATTAGAGAAGGAAACGCCGACCCCATATAAACACGGGAAAAGGCGAGGATAAAGAAGAAGAATGAATTTTACGCACTAAAATATTTAACAACAATAATAGTCAAATGTATTCACTATACATAATATACACACATTGACTATCATTACATTAATACACAGTAACTGAAATCTGATATATAGAATTACGAATTATAAAAACCAAGGCTGGAAATTTTAAATAGTGGGGAAGAAAATAAAAATATCAACATAAGAAAAAACATTACATGGAAAGATGCACGGAGGTAGTCCATAACAGCTGGCTGACGATCATTAACTATATTTCGAAGTCTTGTTTTGCGAAATCTGCTTTCTTTCCTTTTAGGTTATGGTTCTCCGGTGTACCTTGAGTCCCATAAGGCCAGCGGGGGAACAGAATCAATTTGCACTAACGATGTACGCATTAGCGGGAGGATTCCTGTATTTCTGAAGTTGGGAATTTTTTTAATTTGAATTTCTTTTCTTGTGATTAATCTCGATATAAAAGTATTTTCTGAGACTTAACAAAAAAATTGAACAGCATAATTCATTAGACAATTCAGACAGTAAGCTGTTTTATTGCTTAGATTGAGATTACTGTATTTTCCGCCAAAAGCACGCCATGTTGATCAACTTGCGAATTTTATTCTTCGTTTTTTAAGATTTAACTGTGATGACAATAACGCCTTATCTTGGTCCGACTTAGTACCAACTTGTAAGCAGTATATCGACCGAGTAGGAAACAACCTACCAACAGCAATGGATCACAGAAAATCTAACATAAGAGAGAATCATTTTCAATTTACTCAATTTTCATCAAAATTTTTAATAACCAAGACGACATTTAAAAGCGAATTTTCTTTTCTACTATTTACTTTAAATGAGATTTCTGTATAAAATTAAATTCATCTAAACCTCTCAACTTACACATATCAATAGATTGGTTTCCTGTAAAATCGAATTTTGGAAACTAACAATTATAAAATGAATGAAAATGAGATATAATTAGGTAACTTCTTTGCTTGTCGATAAAAAAATTTTTCCTTATTTTTTTTAGTTGAAAATCTTATGGCACTTCCTTTACTAACTTCTTCAATTTCGTCATGTCACGACAGAGGATTCTTATCTCATCTCTTTGAATTTGATATAGCATAAACCTAAACATTAATTTTAAATAAAATGCTGGAGAATATTTCACATATAGTGTTAAACTGAAATCGTGCAATTTTTGTGTTGTAAATTAGATGTTGAGTATCATGTATAAGTATCATAAGAATTTTTTTATCTTGTTACTTCTATAGCTTTTGTCCTTTATAACTGTTTTCTGTCCATCTATTAGGAATTTTTTCAACTAATTTGCCTCCAGGTTAATAGGCCTATCTTATGCCTTAAAATTTGTTTTCAAAAATTTTTGAAAAGAAATTATAACAGCTGATTGTATATCAGTAGACATGTGAGACATGCCTGGAGACATCCAGTCTCGGGGTCACAAAATTGAAAAAATAAAACAATTTTACCGTTGCAATTGTATATCATAAATTTATGTTAGGAACATCCAATTTTTTGTCCCTAGGGGTCTCAGATGGTCTCAATCCACCATCATATATATCATATTCAAGAAATTTGTACTGACTGTAGTATCATACTGGCATTAACTGATTAAATGGTTTTTACCGATAAAGATTTCTAATTGTAAATTTGACGTCCATCTACCTTAACTATTAGGTAATGATTAACTGGTTTAGTTCTTGAAAATTTCTCCAATGATATTTTACTTTAAGAAATTTTTTTTTAATTACAACAATTAATAAAAACTTATAAATCAAAATTTGTAAAATTTTTTATAGTATACTCAAGTTATTACAAATATGTAACATTACATAAATTAAGGAAAAGAAAAAAGAATTTTATGCATTTTAATAAATGAAACAATATTCCTGCTCAGTATTTCCACAAAGAGATATTATAGAAAAATAAAATGCATCAATTATAAAATTGATTGCATTTTATTTTAATTAAAAAAAAACCACCTAAATTTTAAAGTGTGTCCTCTTTTCTGATGCATACAAAATTTTCCTAAAGCTGATTAAATCTTAAAATTTTGTTACACTTACTTTGAAATATAGTATAATAATTATTATTTTGAAAATAAAGTTTTATTTTATGCAATACCTAAATTTTAAGAAATTAAAAAGAAAGTACTCAATATTTTTGCCAAAATATTTAATTAAGAAAGCAATAAAATATAGATTATTTTAACAAAAACTCTTAAAGTATCTTAAAATTTAAATTATGTTAAAACATTAAAATAATAAAAAAATATTTAAAATTTTATTTAAGAAATAACCATCCATTTTTGACATCAGAAGTTTGGACAAACAAAGAACTGTAAATAATGCAACTTTTTTTTTAATAGAATACCATCAGGAAGATAATTTGTTACACAGGACAAATTATTGAATAAAAATGACATTAAACAGAATAAAACTCTCTCTTATAATTTTGATGTATGCGAATAACAGGCACTGATTAAAAATTCAACCTCAATTATAAAGTACAAGTTATATAATATATATATATGTATATGTATATTATATATATATATATATTTTATTTATTTATTTATTTATATGTATATAGCACATAAATACTGAAGATAGTTAACTTTTTTGAAAACATATACAACAATGGTGATTATTTACATAGCTGATGCATTGATGCAAGGTTCATTTTAATATACACTATAAAAAATGAATTTCATCAATCTATTTTGTTTTACCATGATTAGTGTAGCAATAGCTAACACTGAAAAATATTTTTGTTTTTATACTGAATGGAATTTTTTTCTATTATATTTAATCAATTTTTATTTGTTAAAAATTAAATAAATAAAACAAATTATTACACATTAACGAAAAACTACCATATTTTTTCCAACTTAAGAGTTTTAAAATGCAGAAAATTGATTGAATATAATAGATGAAAATTACTCAATTATCTGTTGTCTCTCTCTCTCATACTGTATATACTGTGATGAGTTAAGTGATTGAGTGGGGAACAAAACTAATCGTTTTACAGTAAATAACATTTTTTTTATAAAGATTATTTACAGATGGTATAAAAAAAGCAAAGAATGGAAATCAAATTGTTAAAATGAACATCAAAAATATTTATAATTTGCTTCCTGTTCAGTATAACTAAATTCATGTACATAGTACATTTTTATATATTTATCAAAATTTTATAATATATATGAAATACCTCTAATAACTTAAAAATTTGTGTTTAGATTATTTTTAAAAATCATTAAAAATTTAAAATATAAAAAATATTCCTTTTATATTATTTAAAATTATTAGAATTTACATTCAAAATTGGTAATTGTAATTTTATAAATGAATTTTAAAGTGCAGTATATCATAATACAAAATACATTTCTGAACAAGAAGCAAATTGTACAATTTTTTATATATATATCATTCTTTGCTTTTTTTAAAAAAACATTTACTGCATGTACAAATTCAATACACAATACCAAGTTTTGGCCCCCTTGTTATTATTAATTCCCCATATGGTTCTTCTTGATGAAGTTCAATTGCCTGTTGCTTCTTCAAAACAAGAAACGTATAAAACTTTTGTGCAACCTAAGAAAAAAAAAAATCAAAAANACTTTTTTGAAAACATATACAACAATGGTGATTATTTACATAGCTGATGCATTGATGCAAGGTTCATTTTAATATACACTATAAAAAATGAATTTCATCAATCTATTTTGTTTTACCATGATTAGTGTAGCAATAGCTAACACTGAAAAATATTTTTGTTTTTATACTGAATGGAATTTTTTTCTATTATATTTAATCAATTTTTATTTGTTAAAAATTAAATAAATAAAACAAATTATTACACATTAACGAAAAACTACCATATTTTTTCCAACTTAAGAGTTTTAAAATGCAGAAAATTGATTGAATATAATAGATGAAAATTACTCAATTATCTGTTGTCTCTCTCTCTCATACTGTATATACTGTGATGAGTTAAGTGATTGAGTGGGGAACAAAACTAATCGTTTTACAGTAAATAACATTTTTTTTATAAAGATTATTTACAGATGGTATAAAAAAAGCAAAGAATGGAAATCAAATTGTTAAAATGAACATCAAAAATATTTATAATTTGCTTCCTGTTCAGTATAACTAAATTCATGTACATAGTACATTTTTATATATTTATCAAAATTTTATAATATATATGAAATACCTCTAATAACTTAAAAATTTGTGTTTAGATTATTTTTAAAAATCATTAAAAATTTAAAATATAAAAAATATTCCTTTTATATTATTTAAAATTATTAGAATTTACATTCAAAATTGGTAATTGTAATTTTATAAATGAATTTTAAAGTGCAGTATATCATAATACAAAATACATTTCTGAACAAGAAGCAAATTGTACAATTTTTTATATATATATCATTCTTTGCTTTTTTTAAAAAAACATTTACTGCATGTACAAATTCAATACACAATACCAAGTTTTGGCCCCCTTGTTATTATTAATTCCCCATATGGTTCTTCTTGATGAAGTTCAATTGCCTGTTGCTTCTTCAAAACAAGAAACGTATAAAACTTTTGTGCAACCTAAGAAAAAAAAAAAAATCAAAAATTGAATTAAATAATACCTGCATATACAAAATGATATACTTGAAAATGAGATTTTACATACCTGTTTACGTCTGTTGCTTTTTACAATTTCTTTAAAATTTATTTCGTGATCACATTCTAACCTATTTCTGATGATATGCATCATATGAGCTGTTCTTTTATTTAATATTCTCTCTTCAAACTGCTCATAAGTTTCATCTGCCAGCTGTTCTTCAGGCTAAATTATATACATATTTAAACTTGTATTATATAAACATATTAAAATATTTAAATTTCTTTATTTCAATTTAATAATAAACAATAATGTATTATATATAACAAACAGACAAATTTTGTCAAACCTTAGAACTCAATATAAATTTTCTGTCATGCTAAAATATTTTTATGCTGTTTTTATGCCATATTTGAATGACAGTTAATATAATTATTACTTAATCGTTACAATTCAAATTATCAGATAAATTTAATCGTCACAATTCAAATTACAGATAAATTTAACTGATTATTATTTTCATTGAAATCAGTGTTAAAATTCCAATTCTTTTAATATATGTTTTGATAATTTAAATCTAATATATCTCATACAGTAATTCTTAACATCAGTTTAGTTTAACATTGTCTGTTTGAATTTGAATTTGGTGTTCTATTTTTTGTTGTTCCAAATTCGAATGTTTAAACCTGAGGATGATCTATGGAGTAGATCGAAAATGTTAGTTTTTTAATAAAACTCCCTTGGCAAAAAATAAGGTGTTTGTTACTTAAATAATTATTTTGCCGAGTACATTTCTGTTCAATGTTCTGTTCAATAATTATTACTTAAACAAACAAAATTTTTTTAATGGTAAAAATAATATTTATACATTATCAGTTGATAAAAAATATTCAGTTTAAATGAAAAAAAATAATCATACAGTGTGAATTTATTTGCCTTTGTAAAAGTCCTATTTTATTTCTATAATATTCATAAACATATAAAATCAATTGCAAGACTATCAAAATTAAATTCATTTATAATAAAGTCTGGTTATCATAATCCCTTGGAACCTTTCTATATGAATTACAATAACTGAATGTTAACATTAAAAGGATAAGGAAAGAGTAACTTGATAAGATGCACGGTTTAAAATCCAATAAACTTTCAAGTGTAACTCCAATGTAGGTAGTTAGTAATGACCCAAATTGGCAACACTGAATAATTAGAATGGTTCATTAGTGTGGAACAGTTGTGATGTAACATTTTCCAATGGCAACAAAGTTAAAAAAAGTTGTCTCACAAAGAAGTCCAAGCACTTGTTCAATTTTTATAGGCCAGAGAGGTTACAAGTGCTGAAATCAAGCCTTACTGTGCAACTATGCAGACATGAGTGAGAATATGTGGCGAGTAGAGGAGAGATGTGATATCAAAACCCTGTCAGATATGTGCAAGAACCAGAAATTCACTCATGCCAGCAAGATTTCTTGCTTCTCATTTGTGCATGCTTTTCTTTGCGAGAACTATATCACTCACCACTAAATTCACGTCTGCATAATCACATCCTTAGTGACAGCTCATCATCCTTCTTTGCCAAGAATATGGTAGTTTAAGATATCATCATCTACTGGGAGAGACTAATGTCTTTTAAGACTTCATGAGTGTGCACTTTTGGTGGTGTTTTTGCAATATAAACATACTGTTAATGCCACTTTGTATTGAGATATGCTAGCATATTTGAAAGAATAGGAGAAAATATTCTGGATTCCTTAGCTGAGGCATTATTCTCCCATTGTCAATTCACATATGATACACTGGACTAAGGAAATGCTGCAGACATTTCAATGGAAAGTTCATCATTCTTCATACAACTCTGATCTGGCCTTTTCCAACTTTTGTATATTCTCATATTTGAAAGAACTGAATATTGTCACTGGTTTGCCACAGATGAAGTGAAAGATGTCATTGCTGGGAAGGTTGCAGTAACAGGAACAGAAATTTTTGAGAACAGACTGAACAAGCTTATTACATGATGTGATAAATGTCTAAACAGAATGAATGATCTTGCAGTTAATAAATAGTATATTTCTTGCAGATAAATCCTGTATACTTTTGTTTATGCAATGAAAGTATTTGTCTGTGTTATTGACTTTGTAAAGTTACTTTCTGATAACTCCACACAATAATTTGAAGATTTATTAATTACCATTGTTATTAATTATTAATCATTTATCTAGTGTTGTTTGTCTATGTTTCCTTGCAGTGACTGATTATGCTTTTATACGATACTATAGCATTTAAAGCACTGCTTAAAACTGATCACTTCTTTACATATTGGAACAACTGCCATTATCAGACACATGTTGCTACTGATAGTGCAAAGAATACAGCTTAAAAATGTATGACCCAGCTGAAAATTGAGTTTCATTTCTTTTGTCATCAAATTGTTCAATGTGTAAGCTTATCAAAAACATTTTCCAATTTTTTTGTTGTCATTTTCAAATTAGTTACGTAAATTGAAGTAATTTTCAAATTAGTTACGACTTCTGAAGTTATCCTATTTTTGTATACATGCAATCATTAAAATTTAATGGATTGTTCTGAGAAAAATTTAAATTCATATATGATTGCAGTAGAAACACATGTTCCACACCAATGAAAATTGTATCATTTTAGTTTATATCATTGTCATTCATTAAATCTGAAAATTTTTTACAAAAATTAATGGTAAGCAACAATAATTATTTTCATTATCATTTGATAAATCATAACATAGTGTATTGCATTTTGTAGTGTATTTTAAATAATTTTAAACTGGACCATAGCATTGGAATTAAATTGATTTTTTCAAATTTAAGTGAGAATCAAAATTCAAAAATTATTATATCTTTAATAAGATTTAGAAAAAAAATTCACTCAATAGTGTTATCCATAATGAACATTTTCCATTAAAAAGTAAATATACTAATTTTGTCAAAAGCCTAAATTCAAAGACTGACAAAATTGGATAAATTACAATTATATTATATGGAGCAGTAACAGCAACAACTTACAAATTTAAATTTCAAATTTGAGAGAATAGGGCAAATTATTAGAAGAAAACACACTCATTATGAAAAATGCTGTGTTAAAAGAAATTTTATAATTTAATAAAGCTTGCATAGATTTAAGGAAAAATTAATTTTTTTATTTCTTCTTCCATTTTGATGGATTAGTTATATTTAAAAAATACTGAAAACTTACAAAAAATACAATTTTCTAATATTTTTTAAATAAGGTAAATGCACCGGTAGTGGACACTGCACGAATAGTGGACACTTTAAACTTCAAATATGATTAATAAGGTTGTAGATGGCTTCACTGTTCAAACATACAAATCATTCAGTAAACAGAAGTTCTGTCTATTGAATGCTTTGTATGTTTGAACAGTGAAGCCATCTACAACCTTACTACTCATATTCGAAATTCAAAGTGTCCACTACCGGTGCGTTTACCTTACAGTATTTTATTATACACTTTAAATAAAAAAAAATGAATCCAATAAAAATAGTTACTTTAGTATTCATTAGGAAAATTATTTCAATTGTAAAGATTAATTCAGATTTATTATTGCTACTTACTGGACCAACACTTGCAGGTGCACCATAGTCTTCATCATCATCAATCATTGTCGGCTTGTGATTTAATTCAATTTCCTGTTGGACATTCTGTTTTGGATTCTGTTCCTGTTCTTTCATAATTACATTTGACTGTACAGGTTCCAGATCTGGCACTGGAGGTGGAGGCATAATTGGTTCTTCTACCAATGGCAGTGAATGAAGTTGTTGTTGTTCAACTTGAGGAGGAAACTTGAAAAAAATTTTAATTATAATTTACTTGGAAACAAAATAAAACATATCTCTTATTAGAAAAAATTTAAAATCTCTAAAATCTTTAAAATTTTAAATTTCTACAAAGAACTTTTGTGTGATTAAAATTATATGACTAAAACTCAGCTTTTGTAGAAAATGAATTTTTTGTTTAATTTTTAAGGCTATCATTAAAGGAAATAAATTCTTCTTAGTTTTTGTTTACAAATGATAAAAAGTAATAAACAAAAATAATAATTTTTATTGTAATTGTTTTATAAACTATAGTGTTTAAGCCACTGCCTGAAAAAAGATGATCTTTTTACTAATGAAATTTATTTAAAACAACTGCTTTTAATCATTTTGATCAGTCATTTTCAGGTTCCAAATAAAATTAAACAGATTCTATATTCTACAACATATAATGCATGTAATTGAACATGCCCTATGTTTGAAATTTAAAATTTAATGAATTAAGCCACAGTAGAAATATAAACCCTAAAAAAGCAGTTTAAGAAAAAATTATTAAATACATATAAAATTATAATATTTTTCATTCTTGATTCAGTTTTTTTTTACTGAAATTGAATTTTGTAACCCGCAATTCAGTATTCAAAAAAGAACAAATGTTTTTTGGCTAATACTTTTACAGTATTTATTACATTTTTCATTATTAGAAGTGATTTTTAAAAATTTTAATCTATCAACTTGTTTTTTTTAGTCAAATATAATCTAACTTCTTATTCATAAAAATATATTGTTCTGACAGTAATCAAATATAGATTTTCATTTAAAAAATGATCATCATAGATTTTATAATTTTTCTATAAAATTATATTTATTCATAAAAATTTACTTTCAGACATCATCTTTCATAATTCATGTGATTGGTTATAAAACCACTTTTTCTCTGCATTTCAATATCAAATCTATTGACTGAGGAAATTATGTTTGTAATAGTTTTTTGTAATTATGTATATTGTAATTACACATTCATATTTTTGAATTTTATTCATTTATTATTAAATAAAATTCATTAAAAATACTGATTAAATTATATTTTTAAAAGCATGAAATAATAGTTACTGATAATTAAAGCCTATTATTGACTAAATAATGCAGCAGTAAACCATTATTGATACACTAGTAAATAAAAATTTTAAAATTACAGTCAAATCTAATTAATTCAAATTATCAGATAAATTTAACTGATTATTATTTTCATTGAAATCAGTGTTAAAATTCCAATTCTTTTAATATACGTTTTGATAATTTAAATCTAATATATCTCATACAGTAATTCCCAAATTATGTGAAAATTACATTTTAAGAATTATGAATTTCAAAATTTTGCATAATTTAAGCAATCTATTATGGCATTTACTATTAATTGTACCATTTCAACTAATAGTAAATGCCATAATAGAATTCTGCAAATGTGAACTTACCCTATTAACCAACTATATCAGTATGACATATCCCATTATTCATATGAATAATGGAATATGCTATATTAATAAACAGTTTTAATTTGTATTCACTTAACATCGATAAAATAAAAATAATTTGGATAAGCTAAAATTAACCTCCATATATACATGATACATGTGATGGACTCTACAGAATATGTATGTATATAAGTGGTCTGTTAAAAAAGTTCCAGAATATTTCAAGCAGCATGTCAATGTGATCTAGCAACAATATGTGGTCATGTGCATTGGGTAGCAATGATCTTCCTTTATAACTGGTCAGTTGCATCTTTTCTGATGTGATTAGTTTTCATGCTATGGAGTTTTGTTTATGTATGTGTAGATCAACATCAAATTTTGCTGCAAACTTGAGAAAACATTTATGGAGACCCATGAAATGTTGAAGCAGGTTTACAGCAATAAGTGTCTTAATCATACACAGTGTTACAAGTGGTCAAGAGTAAAAATCATGTGAGTTTTTTTTAGGCATTGTGCATCTTGAATTCTCACCAGATGGTGAATCACAGTTATTATCTGGAAGTGTTAAGGCACCTAGTGTTAGAAAGAAAAGGCCTAAACTCTGGAAGAAACTTGTGGATCATGCCTCATGACAATGTGCCACTGCATTTGTTTCTGCTGTTTTGTGACTTCTTGGCTAAAATGAAACACCTGCACTTCTCCACCTATCCTACTCATCTGACCCTCACTCCTGCAAGCTTTTTCCTATTCCCTACGCTGAAATCTACTTTGAAAGAACATAAATTTCAGATAATTGAAGACATCAAAAAAAATTCGAAGGAGCATCCACAAGTAATTCCAAAAAACATTTACTAGATGTGCTTCCAGAAATGACAGCACCATTTGCAGCAATATATTGAGAGAGGAGAGTGCTTTAAAGAAGATAAGGAAAACTAATTGAAGGCATGTCCAAAAAGTGAAGAAAAAATAAGTTATGTAACTTTTTTAACAGACCACATATATGCTTTTTTAAGTTGGTCTCATTGTAGTACACTTGTATATTTACTGACAAACATACACCTTACAGCAGTTTGAGACATCTCAACAGATCTAGAAAACTTTTCCATATGGTTTTCATAAGTCTTGCAAAATTTAACCTAGAATTTTCTAGCATAAAGACAAACTTGGTGTCTAGTCATCATTCACACTCACTGTCTCCTTATGAATTGCAGGAGTTATTTAACACAACAGAATTGTAAAAAGAAAATATTGCCTAGTTTATTAAGAAATATGAGTTAAAAAATGATAGATTATTTTTTTTAATATAAATGTTACATTTTTAGGCATAGAATCAGGGAAGCCTGTTCCAATTGGCTTATAGAATTGAGATTGGTTGATTTTGATTAAACTTTGTCAATTTACAGGAGATGTGGAAATTAAAAATGTAATAAAAATCAGGGTCCATAATTTCATTTGAGATACAAAGTTGCTAGCATGAATGTGTACAATTTTTAAAAATTCTTCTTTATGCTAGTGATTGTTGTAGATGGTTCCCATGAAACATTATTATTGACTCAATTCTTAGTTCATGTTTAGACAAAAAACAAACTGTGCTTACTTAAAAAACTAACTCACTCTGGAAGGAGAAGAAGCTGTCAGTAAACCCACTCATCAAAGGGCTAATAGCAAAGGTTTTCTAAAAAGGGATTAATTCTTAAAAACATGAGAACAGACAAATAAAGCAAGATGTAAATTAAGAAAGAAGAAAGAGTGTGCTAAAGGGCTGAATTGAAATGAAGGGCTGATTCAAACAGATAAAAAGAGAAAATTGTTAGACTTAACATCAGTTTAGTTTAACAGTTCTATGTTTAAAAGTTTTCAATCTTAAGTAAAAATTTTGCTGTAAATTAAAAATATAAATTAGTCATGAAAACTTCTGTCAATTTGTCAGTGACTATGTGGATCTTCCCTGAAGCCTGTATATCAAGTTGAAGAATTTATTCCACAAGATGATCAATTATAACAAAATTTCAAACAGTTGGTAACCCAAAACAATGTGTCATATATAAATGCTACCATTAATGTAATTAAATGTTAACCAAAGAAAGTAACTGTGCTATGGAATAATTTTGAGTCACAAATAATTTTAAACAATGGATACTGATTTTTCTTTAGTATTATTTTAAAATCATGTAATTTGAGAATCCCTATATTTTGAAAATGAAACTCGAAAAAAGAAAAAGCATGTAGTTAACTGACTTATAGAATGTTTATTTTAAGAATTTCCTGAAATGTACTTGTTCTATAAATCCCTGGGTAAAATCATCACATTTCACAATTTTAATAACATTAATCTGAAGAGTAAATTATTTAGTTAATTTTTATGATGTATAATCATTGAATGTACATAAATTTAAAAAGTTGAAGTGATTAAAAAAGTGAAAAAGAAAGTAAAAAGAAAATTAGATGCTGCCAAATAATATGGAATACTGCCAAACACTAGAAACTTGCTGAAAATTAATTTAATTTTCAAAACTGAATACTTCAAAATTTCTGGATTTCAATGGTGTTTGAATTAAAAACATATGATTTATCATAAGGCTTTAAATAAAATATCTTACTAAATCTACAGGTTCTTCTTGTTCTTGTAAGGGTGGGATTTGCATGGGTAGTGAAACTTGGTCTGAAACTATATCAATTGGATTGAAAGTTGTCTCCGGAAGTTTAGAAAGACTGTGCGTCAATGACATATCTTGTTTACTATATTCTAATCTAGGTATTTCTTCTTCTGGGTGAGCATCCCTTTTTCGTTTTCTTGCTAAACCTTAAAAATAAAAATTATCATCTTAAAATTATTTTAATTAATTAACTATTTTTATTTAAAAAATATACCTCCAGTATAAATTTATTTTTCATAGAATTTCCTAATGACAGAACAATTTTAAGTAAGAAAAATAAAGATTAAATTTACTATAAATTTAGATCATAGTGTTTAGTATCAAAACAAAAAAAAACTACAAGAAAAAAATAGCAGTTATAACCATAATTGCAGAGTAATGCTTTAATACCTGATAGTTCTTCTTCTCGTGCTTGTTCTGCTTCTGCATCTAATTCCATCTTATCTTCTTCTACTCCAAATTCTTCATTATCTACAGCTTTTGTAGTTAAATGCCTTTGATAAAGCTAAAAAAAAAAAAAAAAAAAAAAAAACTGAAAGAACACATAGCAGATCTTAAATACAATAGAATAAATTCTGCATTTTACGAACATTGTACTATAAACAACTGTAATATAGATAAAGATAACGTAGAAATACTGCATAAAGAAAAATTAACGTACAACAGAAAGTTTAAAGAAACCATAGAAATCATGAAAAGTAAAGACAGTATAAATAAAAACTTAAGTCTTAAAATAAACGAAAACTGGATTAATATATTATAAATAATATTTTTATAATAATATTTTTTTCTTNGATCAGAAATAGTGTCATCTTTGCAACTTTTTTCTTTAATTCTTAAAATTAAGTAATAATGCTTAAAAATAAAAAAGCCAGAAATTTTAAAAAATAAATACCTTAATTAAAGCTAAATTGAGCTTAAACTTCATATCCAAAGTTCAGAATAAATTGTTTCTTTTCTGAAGTTTGGATCTGAAGCTGAAGCAAGTTTGTAAATGTTTACCTTAGAAATTACAAACTGATGATTTCAAAAATTATTTTTAATAACTATAAAATGTTCCTACAGTCTCCTAAAACTAGTAAATATTTATGTTCTACAGATAACGTCTATGAAATTTACAAATACATTTTCGAAATACACCTATCCCTCTTTTTTGTGCAGTGGATATGTTCCAAGGAATGTCACATAAAACAAAAATCATGTAAAAAAGTACAGTACATTCATCCCATAAAAAAATGCTTGACAGGATCCAGAACTTCAATGGAATAAAAAAATAAGCAATTTACAAAGAAACACGAGCTTGTTTATTTTGTAAATTGCTTTTTTTTTATTTATTCTATCATCATTTATCATTAACATAATTTCTGCATAAATATAGTAAACACAAAACATCATAGGAAATATAAAATCAACATACAGTAAATATTCTCTTACAAGCATATAGTACTGTACTAAGCTTAAAAAAATAAATGAACTCTTGATTTTAGCAAAAAGAGTAACTTTTTAACAATAATACAATTTTAGCAAAAAGTTAAATTTAAAAATTTTCAAATAAACCATTTTTCCCGTGTAAAAAAATTTATCATACAAAAAGATGATTAGTTTTGTCAACTGCATTATTTCAAAATCATGTAAAAATAAATTGCATAAAAAGAGGGATAGAAATATACATTTCAAATCTTCTAATATTTCTCTTCAGATTTTTTAAATCAAAACTAATAAGATTTTCAAATTTTAAATTTTATTTTTTTTAAATATTTTTTAATATTATCACTATTTTATATAAATTTTAAAAACCATTAGAAAAACAGAGAGAAATAAGTTGTATATTTTCAAAATATAATTTAATTTTCTCAATAAAGGCCCATGTTTTAAATAGAATCTTTGTATTGCTTTTCCAGAATATAAAACATTTATTAACTTCAGAAAAGTATAGATTATGTAAAAGATTAATCTAAAAATTTTTTAATTGTAAAATATGGTAAAACGTATCTAAAAAGCCAAATAAATCAAAAACCCCATTTAAATCTAAACAGAAAAACTTCTTTAGAACAAAGCAAATCTCTATGTTAAATTTTACTGTAAACCAGAAACCTGTCCAACTTCAAAACAAGAGGTTTTCAGGTATGAAGAATGTAACTTAACCTAAATGAAACAAAAAAATTAAGATCCCACTTGTTCTGAACAAATAAGTAAAATCATCTCCAGATATAATGATCCCACAGAGCATGATAAATTGTATTCAAAGAATTACTTGCATCTTTACAGAAAAATGAAAGTCATTTGATGAAAAAACATACACACACAAGGCCTTAGCATCGACATCCATAAAAACTGGCTTCAATTATTAAAATAAAATAGAATGTTTATACAGTCGCAGGCGAGGCTGTGTGCAACACTCGGAGAAGGGTAAGGTTACAAATTACGAGGCATGCGGGGGAGTCCGTCAAGTCGGGAAAAGAGGGGAGGGGAAGGGAGCGGGAAGTACGGACACACAAGTCACAACTATCGACGTAACAGACTGAAGAGGGGCGAAAGCCCGAAACGCGTTTCTGTAAGAAGTAAATGTAGGTGATGGAATTATTTGCCAAGTGTCTATAAATGCACCAAGTCGTGACATAGAATCAGAAGTCTACATTACTATTAGTCTTTGTTGGAATTAACTAGAAGCAGAATTGAGATTCCAAAAACAAGCAATGAAGGTAATTCATTGAAAACAATAAGAATAAGGTAACATGATTTGTTGCCAATTTCCTTGTACAGAGCAGTTAGTAACTAATACCAAGTTGATTAAAATTGTTGGTAATTACAGAAATTGATGATAATGATTAATTAGAGTATTAAAATTTCTAGAGAATTCAGATCACAAAATAACTTGGTCTCTGTATTACTGTAATGTGATTTGAATTTCTGATGGCAACGTAAGACACTAGTTCTTGGCTCTCAAATTGGTTCATTTGCTGTCATATGGGTCCATAAGGATCTATTCAAATACATAACACAATTTCTTGGAAACAATAAGAACTTTTTAGAATTGAATGGTTTTCAATTATTGCATTTGAGTATTTCCATCTTTAGTAGAAATCATTTTGAATTAAACCTAATAATAATTTTTTTAAGTACAAAAGTGATTTATTATAAAAAACGAACATAGCTGTGTGACATTTATCTGATGCAGTTTAAAGATTAAAAACAAAAAAGCACTAAAATCTGTTCAAGACAGAAACCTGCCAAAAAGTAAGAAAATCTGGATGGTACAATTCTATTTTACAGATTTACTGTATTACATTTTACAGACATAGTTCTAAGATTTTTTAAAAATCATAATACAAACTATCAAATTACTATTGAAATAAATGTTTTGATTATTGTACAGATATAACTTTTATGATAGTAAAATACAAAATAGAGAATAAAACCTAATTGCAAAAACTTACAAAAGAAATTATAGACAATTATTTAAATATATTACTGCTAAATTTAAATTTATTTACTTTTGATAATGCTCTTGATAATATAGGATGACCCGAAAGTGCAAATAACTTTTCAACTCCACCAGTTTCTTTCCAATGCATTAATCTTTTAGTTGGAGGAGCAAGATCTAATGTGGTTACAATATCACTAGTATCTGATAACTGAGATTTCATTTCTTCCCCAGAAATATTCTTAACTTCATCCACAATAAGTTTACGTTTACGTTTTGTTTTGGTCTTTTCTGTGCCTAAAATAAAGAAAGAAAAAAAACATTGTAAATTAACATATCAAATTTATCAATTGGTATAAAAATGATTGTTTTATAACATGTTCCATACTAAACATGATATGATTTTTTAAAATTTATTAGTAATAAAATATATTTTTAAAAATTTAAAGCAATAAAAAAAGTTTTTTCAAATACTGTCCAAACCAGGAACACACTTAATAGTGTCAATCTTTCTTTTAAAACTACCTTAAAGTATTAATTTCCTTTATAAGTTGATAAATCATTGACTATATAATAAAAATTGCAACAACACTTGAAAAACAAAAGATACTATACAAAATCATTTTTCTCAATTCCTATTATTATACTAGAACACATTAGATATTGAAAGCAAGATAAGTAATTAAGACTATAAATAGTGAAAATTCTGATGTTATTGACAGACTTGAAAATGTCATGCTAAAACAATTAAAAATTGTATGAGTTAAAGATTTATTAATTAACATATAATTTATCAAGTTTTGTTTGTCTGCTACTTAATAATAGCTAGTGTATAATTGAAAAAGAAATTTCAGCAATTTAAACAACTGTACTGTGAAAAAATAATGATAAAAACAATAAATGATTAACACTGAACACTTAATGTGTAGGTAAGACTTATAATGATAGCAAGTATCAGTGAAATGTTTAGACTGACAGTGTATGAAAAAAAAACTTAAAAATGCCTATTTACCTGATGACAATATTCACGATTAATCTATATACTACTAAAAGTCTGAGAACATTTGGTTGGTTGTAATTAAATACAGAAAATACCACATTTTTAACAGGGATGCACAACCTTTTGTGAAGAAGGGCCAAATTAGGATTAAGTTTACTGACTGGGGACCGGACCTCCAAGCGATTAATGCGATGGCTGAGATTGGATGCTGGCAGAAATCTTCTTGATGTCTGGTGTAATGGCAGATGTTGAAACAACCAGCAGATTTTCCAAATTCTTGTTGGTTAACCTGTTCCGTGTTTTGCACTTGTTTAAATTCATAAGCGAAAACGCTTGTTCNGCCCGCAAAACGCGCATTTTAACAAAAATCTATAAGCGCGCGTTTGTGTGTACGGCTACGTAGAACTCTTGGTTCTTTAAAACGCGCGTTGAAAAACGCCTAGTGTGTACAGGCTCTTAGACTTAAAATATTCTATATCTAAACCAGAAAGTGTTAGCTAGAAATAGACTTATTTATAGAACAACCCCCCATTTCTCACCTCAGGGAAAGTCATAAAACAGTTGGGTGCTAATGACTGTGAAAGGGAAAAAGTTCTACACTTAGAAACTTCGAAAGAAGGGATTTATCCTGTACCATCCGCGGGCCGCATAAACATTGATAGGGGGCCGTATGTGGCCCGCGGGCCGCAGGTTGTGCACCCCTGTTTTTAAGAATCCTATACTTCAAATGAAAATAGAAAAAATTAAAATTTTGTTAAAATTGGGTGATGGATTACAGAGTTTTTGCCATGTTTTCTGTGATGACATCACTTTTTAAAGTTGTCAATTACTGTCCCATAACTATACTTAAATTGTACAATAGGTTAATTTCAGTGCAATATTGAAATTATCTTGCTTTCTCTATAGCTTCTGAGTACTAGGCAACCCAATGGGTTGTGGGTAGAGTAGTAGATAACTATAAATTTGGTATAATTTAGATAGATGCAATTATTTAAAAATATAATATTTAAATAGATAATTATTTAAAATTTATTATTTATATACATAAAACAGAATGACAGTCCATCTGTTCTCTATACACTTCTAAATCCTTTGACAGATATGCACCTGTATTTTACTGACCTTCCTCTGGAGAAGTACAAATTGAATGTCAGTTGCATTCAAATAAAACAAAAAATTTTAAAAATATTCTATAATAAATATTTCAAATGTTGATAGGCAGACTTTTGAAGTTAGAAATAAATGAAAATATAAAGTAGAACATATTTAAAAATAATCATTATGGGTAATGCTCATACTCAACTATTATATAAACTACATAAATATTTTATTTTCAAAGATATTTATTTATTGTAATTTTAACTGAGCATGACATAACAATTAGCATATAAATAATAATATATTTATTTGTAAAACTGTCTGAAAGTTTTAGACAATCACTTCAATAGAGGTAAGCTATGCTAAAATGACTACCTAAAAAACTGTTACTGTATAAAATTGACCTTTACATATATTAGAAATGCCAATTAAATAAAATACAGAGGCACTTTGGTACTTGAATTTAATTCATTCCAGAAGGCTATTAAAGAACCCAAACAAATTTTTCCTGTAAGAAATAACAAATTAGATTAATTCATTCTAGACCATCCCAAAATACACTTATAAAAGCATTTTAACTAGAATTTAACAAGAAGTTTACAAGCTTAGTATTCACAAACCCCCATATGCAATAGAGTGGCAAAATATGCCTATTAATTTTATTGAGCTGAACTAAAAGTTTTTGTATACTTTTAACAGTTGTTGTTACTTAAATATGTGTGATTTAAATTATAATACTTGTAAAATTTAACATTTTATTGCTAATTTGAAATTGTATTATTTGTTTAGAAGCTTATTTTAAGCATTTTACTTCACATTTTATTTGAATAAAATCAAGTTGAAACATCAGCAGATAAAATGCATTTCTGGAATATTATGCTTTATGAATTTCAGAAAGGATATAATGCTGTACAAATTTTAAAAATATTCATAATGTGTATGAGGAAGATGCACCTAATGTAGTTTTAAAAGTTCCATTCTGGAAATTTTGATCTAAAAGACACAACAGAAGGGTACTCAAAAGCTGTCAACAAAGAAAAATTGTGGAAAGAAATTGTTAAAAATCAACAAATAACTCGTGAACTTACAACAAATGTTAATGTGTCACAAATATTTAAAGATAGGTAACTGTAGGGTTTCATTCTATTTTTAAATCAGTAACTCATTTTTATCATAGAAACTTTTTTTATGGATGACAAAATTAAAGTTAAAAATAAAATTATTTGTTATTAACTGAAAATTTGGTTGTGTACAGAGCAATTTTTCCTCCCTGAACATGTGTTTGAATATCAAATTGTTCAAGTTCATGTGAGGCCAGCCGATTAGGGGTGAGGTGTTTTCGACAGCCGAGCGGTCAATTCTGTCATGTGGGCGCGGAATGACTCACCGAGACAGGTTTACCATATAAAACCGTTTAATAATATACATAAATCGTTCTTACAACAATCTAATGCGGGCAAGAGCTTATCCCCCGTTGGGTTTCTGTCACAGTTCCTACTAATCGGATAGTTCGAATGTTCGATTGGTCCCTGGGAAGCTTTCGGCACTGTGGACGCAGAGAACGATGGCTCCGGGGCACGCACCAACACTTGTAGCGATGTCCTCGGTTGACAAGTCGAACCTCGACGATTCTGGACGTGACCTCGACGATCCTAGAGTGGACGGGTTGGCAAAACCAGTTCCTAGGTCGTCGGAAGAGCCTTCGTTGCGTCTCGCGTCTCGGTTGGGAGCACCAAATCCCGACAGGTGAGCTCTATACACCAAAACCAAAGACTCCATAAAGTTCCCGAAAACGCGGTTTTATCAATTTTTCCACCGCGGTCGCCTCTCCATTGGTCTCTCCTCGTCACATGGTGACAATTCGAAACTCCAGGAAGGGCGCGGGAGAGGTCAACGTCGCGTTGGTACACGACTCCTCTCCAACCTCGTTTTCCTCGACTTTACTCTATCTATTGTTTAAAATCTTTTAACAAGACAAAAGGTTCATTGTTTAAATCCGATCTTTAAGTTCGCTCTTTCACACTACGAAACTTGACTCATTTAAAAAGTCGTTAATGGCCTGCTTTCGGACCCCGTTTGGGTCCTCACATTCAGAGCAATTTGAGTATGAGATACCACTGTAATTAGAAACTTCTATATACTGTATACCTTTCTTAACTTCAAAATTACAGCTACCTTTTAGTGATGATTTCAGTTTTGGAAACAAGAAATCCATGGGAACCAAGACTATAGAATATGATTTATAAAATTTCTTCTTGCAAGAGAAACTTTAAATGTTGTGCACAAAAACATGCCACACACAGGTAATTAAGTACATTGTTCTGTAAACTGTGGCTAATACTTGCAGTGAGTTGAGTAAAACTCAACCGACAACACTTGCCAATTAAATGCCTTAAATACATTATATTTTACAAGCTTACTATAATTAATGCACAGATTAATGAAATAGATCTAAATGAAAAAATATTTTGCAAGTCAAAATTTTAAATAAAAAAAATGCAAATTGTTTGTCTTTATTATTAAAATAACTAACAATAAAAAACAATTTGGAAAGAAATAATAATAGCCTGATCTTATTGATCAGGTTATTAACAATTGAATTACTTAGTATTTTTTTTTATTATGCATCAAACTTGATTACTATAGAAACCTTTACTGTAAAAACTATTTGAAATTATACAAATGGAATATTTAAAATAACTAAGCTCTTTTCATATTTAAATTATTTTTTACCTTTCCAGACAATAAATCTAACTACTCCAGAAGGGGAGTAAAAAATGATAGAAATATTTAATGTTTTTCAATTAATGAATCTAATAAAGCAGTTTTATTTAGTTCTAGTAAATTTATCTACATTAAATTCACAGAGATTAAACAAATGAATTACTATTTTCTAGTTTCATATAAACAAAAATCTATTTCAACCAAACTCAATTCTAGTCACTACCACTATTTTTTATTCATGATAGTATAAGCATATCCATTTGATTGGTCTTTACTTGTAAAGACCACTGAAATCAATCTTCATTGTGTCATTAAAAACATACATATATGAGAAATGCATATATGAGTAAAATAAATAAAATAAACAGTAATGATTTTACAGTCTTTTTTAATACCAGTTTATTGTTTTTAACATATCACTTTGAATGAAGAGTCAAGATAGCACAAAAGATAACTAAGATTTTTATCAAATTTTATATATTTTTAATATAGTTTAAGTAATTAAATACCTTATGTTGGTAAAATATATAAAAAAAGAAATGTGATTGCTCTTATCCTTTTTTTTTTATAATAGATTTAAAAACACCAGTATAGTATAATATATATACTGTATGTTTTCAAATCTAGGGTTTTTAGTCTAATTTAAAAAGGAATATGTATATATATGTTACAGTCAAAACCCGTTTTTAGTTAGAACGCGTTTTAACTAGTTGAAACTAGTTTATACTGAATGTCTTTGTTAAAACCCGTTTTGTCTAGTTGAAACTAGTTTATACTGAATGTCTTTGTTAAAACCCGTTTTGTCTAGTTGAAACTAGTTTATACTGAATGTCTTTGTTAAAACCCGTTTTGTCTAGTTAAAACTAGTTTTAACTCAAATTCATTTTTGACTAGCAGTAAATTCTAGTTTTAACTAGACAAAACGGGTTTTAACAAAGACATCCAGTATAAACTAGTTTTAACTAGTTAAAACGCATCCTAACTAAAAACTGGTTTGACTGCAACGCATAGAGTGATTCGGGGTAAGATGGTAAGCGGGGGAAGATGCCTAATTTTTGATATTTTCAAACGGTGACGTCACATATTGTCATGTATTTGTATGATGAATCGTTGGGCCAATATTGAGTGCGGAAAGCTGTAGTTGGCTACCGTTACTTCATTTTCTACATCCGAGAAGAATAAAAGCTAGATAAGAACGAAGTTTTTGTTGTGAAATGTTTCTAGAATAATTTTAAACTAAAAGTTAAAATGGAATTTATTAAAAATTGCTAAAAACAATTAATGTGTGATGTAGTTAAGGTTCTAAAGTTTCCATTGTCAGCTACCGCCGATCCCGATCGGACATGCTGGAGCACGTGACTCTACTAGGCATCTTACCCCAACAAATGGAAAATATGCCACATTTTTCTTGGGGTAACGTGCCTATTTTTTGTTAATTGATTTCCAATATGCCTATTTTTAATAAACTTTTGTTTTCTCGTTTTATTGCAGGATATGCATAGAAATTATATAAGGACTTCTCAAAAAAGTTTTTGGACTGAAAAAAGCTTTCAGCTAGCTATAGAACACGTTAGAACGGGCGGAAACTTAACAATACTTATACTGTGCTGTTATACTTACTATGAAGTACTTTGTACTACATATGCAATAAATTAAATTTGGTTAAGAAATTCAAAAATTAATTTTAAGCAATTATATTTGTTATCTTACCCTAATGGCATTTGGCATCTCACCCAGATACTTGGGGTGAGATGCTTAAAATGCCAGACAGTGAAAAAGTCGTCATTGCAAACACAGTATAGAATTTTTTAAAATAAACTCCAAACTTTTATTTGAAAGACATACTCCAGAATATGATATTTTCATTAGAGGGCTCCTAAACTCAAATTAGCGCTGTAATTTTCTTCATAAGCAAAATGTTAGGCATCTTCCGCCGAATCACTATACATAACTTTATTTCCCCCAAACATATTTATGTAGCTAAAATTAGTTTTAACTAATGTTAAAAGTTAAAACTAGTTTTATCTAAAGTCAAAACATGTACAGCAGTAAATTAACTAGACAAAACCGGTTTTGTCTAGTTAAAACTAGAATTTACTGCTAGTCAAAAATGAATTTGAGTTAAAACTAGTTTTAACTAGACAAAACGGGTTTTAACAAAGACATTCAGTATAAACTAGTTTCAACTAGACAAAACGGGTTTTAACAAAGACATTCAGTATAAACTAGTTTCAACTAGACAAAACGGGTTTTAACAAAGACATTCAGTATAAACTAGTTTCAACTAGTTAAAACGCGTTCTAACTAAAAACGGGTTTTGACTGTAACATATATACTCTTTACTATAACATATTGTATTAAAAATGTCTTGTGAAAAAGATGAGCTTATTATCACCTATTCCTTATGGTTGAAATTTATACTTCATTGTGGCATAACCTATGCAAGTTATTGGAAATTTCTTTATTTAATAGTAAGAACAAATTTAGTTCAGGCAATAAGAAAGCATAAAACAAGCAAAACAGAGTAAGATAAAATTGATTTTTAATTAATTAAATTGTAATCACAAACAGATAGATCTGTAATATAAAGTTCAAAACCACATTGGATTAAATAATACTACAGTTAACGTGTTTTAAAATGAACACTGATAAAATGAATTCTAGTGTTAAAGCAAATTTTGCCACTGCTCTGGCAAAACACCATTGTCACATTAATTTTCACACGATAAAGCAAACAAAAGTTTTACCAGAATTCATTAAATCAAACTATAAATTATCTTCAGAACACCAAGAAATAACCATATTTCCAATAATGACTGCTTTTTATATTTTTTATAAAGTTGTACTGTAATAAATGTTCCATTTTGAGTTGAAATGATTTTCTTCTTCTAGTAAGTGAAGATGGATGGGTTCTATCTCCAACTATAGAGCAATTCTGGTTTTAGCAGACCATTCTTCTGTACTCAAAAAATAGGAATTAAAGTTTAAGGATGTTCATCCTTTTAAATGGATGTGATCCCATGCAAACATGTGCTAGTTTGCATATTGGGGAATACATACAGTGATGCAATGTTTGGCTACTTTGTGTCAAATTTTGTTCTTTTTTTACTCTTTTAGCACCAAAAAATATTTTCTACTTTTTCAAACAATCTTCAACAGAAAAAAATTATGGATTTCTTTTAGCTTTGTTTTGTTTAACCACTCTGATATACTGCTCCACATTTAAATGACAGATTGTTTGAATAGAAAATCATTTAGAACATTTATGTTTTTGTAAATAAATTTTATTGTATTTAACTTTATTTAGCAAATAATTCAAAATATTATAATTTTGAATCACCTACTAAGTCTTAACTCCTTAAATTATACAACTTTTGCCTTGACCCTGAAAATCATTAATGCAAATTTTCAATAAAGTGAACTAACCACCATTCCCCTAGCAATTCATATTAACTTGATTTGACTGTATTTCTAGTAAACAAAGACACACCATGAATGAAACAAAACCTACAACCTACATGTCATGTAATAAGAGCTTGAAGTAATTTCAATCTTGTTGCATTCAAGATTAGAATATTTCATTCTCATAAATATTTATAGGTGTTTGTTATATTAACTACTTTGTCTCATAAATGGAGAAGATGGATAAAAGAAAACAGTTTATTGTATCAAATACTCATAAATTGAGGCCACACTATACTCAGAATTATTACCTTGAATGACTGTCGTATCTAATGGAGCTAATGCAAATGTTTCTTCTTCATTTTGGATTAAAGTTGTTTGATCTGCAACAGGTGGTTCTTGATGAGACGGTGGAGGCATTTCTAAAGGTGGTGGAGGCGGAGGCATTGCACTACTTCCACTATTTCCAACATCTAAATCTGGAACTCTTCCATCAAGACCTACTACTGAATCTGGACTTGATGGACCTGATGGTGCACCAAAAGATGCAGGACCCATATCACCTATAAAAAATTTTTTTTGTTACAAAAATCAAAATACTTTTCTGTATTTATGATAGTTAAAAGCAGAACTATATAATTAAATATGAATATAACATTAAATATTAATTTAAAAAATAATCATGTTACAAATAAATATTTATTGATATTAAAATTGTCATTTAATACTATTCCAGCTTATGTTCAAAAATTAGCATTAAATTTAATTATAAAATTATTAGTAGAAACAGCATATTATATTTATCAGTGAAAAAAATTATTAATAGTTTTGGATAAATCAAAATCATTGATCACTTAATTATATAATCCTAATTTGGCTCCCTATGATTTTAAACAAAACATGTTGACTATCAAAGCAGAAGCAAAAATTTCACCAGCAACTAACAGAATTATAAGTATTTTATAATTATAAAAAAAGGTAAAATAATCTATATATTTAAAAATAAATAAACATCATATTTCCCTGATTCTAAGAAGTACCTTTTTTTAATCCATTTTTTAAAATCTGTTTATCCAAAACATAGGTGCATCTTATGTAAAAATCGCACATTTACAGTCCAAAACAATAATCATTGCAAATTGATGATATAATGCATTATGCATCAGTAATAGATATTTTTGGCCATATTACTCAATAGTTATTTTCAGTTTGAATTGTCTTTGTTGATAATGACCATTTAGTTTAAACTTCTTTTTAATGTTTAAAATGCTTTTTTGATGACATTATAATGCAGCATTGAAATAAATCGTTATTGTATATGCAGAAGGGCATGGAAATAGATCTGACAAACATTATCTATTGTTTTACTAACCTGTTGATACTTAACAAAACTCAATAAACTTTGAAGTAATGTTATTAAGATTTAAAAGCAAAAAAAATTAAATTGAAATTTCTAACACTTTGAATAATTGCACTTTTATATATAACTAGCTGCATGTGCCCAGTGTTGCTTGGGCTTTTGAGGGGCTGGAAGTTTGAGTGAGGTTGGATTGAAAGAGGGTGATAAAAACAATAGTCTTAGTAACCAAAATGTACAATTATTGACCTAAGCATTTACAATAATGAAACTTCAAAACACAAAAATTGCTCAGGCTTAAGTTAAGAGGAGTGAGTTTTAGGAGTGGGTTGGTTGGGGTCCTCTCCAGAGTTATTTTCTAGAGTGTTGAAGAATATTCATGCCAAATTTGGTGCAGATAGATTAAATAGAAGTCTTTACCTTACTTAATATATATTTTAAAAAAACAAGCAATAATGTATTTCTGATATATTTTAAATATAATTTTAAATTTACATTTTACATTTAATAAGAATAATCATTTTATTCTTACCATAAACATCATCATCATCATCACTATCATTTTGTTTATTCTTATCATCTTGAAGTAAATGATGGTCATTTTGCATCACATGATCAGCATTAGAGTCTAATGGCACATGTCCTAAAGGAGCATCATCAAATAATCCAGTAGATTCAAACAGACCTCCAGCATCACCAACTATTCATATATTGATAGAAAATATTAAATACATTTAATAGTATAAAAAATATTTAGAATAATAATTATAAATCAATTATCATCATCAATTACAACATAAAAATAAAAATATTAAAATATCATATATATGACTCATCTGCTATAAAAATAAAAATGCCAGTCTAATAGCACGTTGCTCTACATTTTGCTTTGATAATTACACTGATATGCACTGGGAGAGAATCCACAAGATGTTGCTACTGCTATGAAATTTAACAACCGACAATTTTTCAAGATTAGCAGAGGAAGGTCTTTCTTGCAAATGGCTCCTTTGACAGCATCCCAGAGATATTTGATGGGGTTCAGATCAATTTTTTATTGTCTGTGCATAACTTTTGTTTTTCTGTAGTGAACAGGTTTTATGTTAAGCTTCCATGTTTTGGTACAAATTTTTGTTTAAATGTATCGCTATACTCTGTGATGTGTATACTATGTTGTTCATGTTTGTAAGTGTTTTAATTTTCTTAAATATATTTTTTACTTGTTTCATCAAATTTGATATTATAGTAATTTAAGTGAATATTGGACTGGCTTTCCTTATTATCTAATATTTCTTATTTGTGATTATATTCTTCTTTGCCAAGTAGACTTAAAGTTTGTTTAGGTTTCAGCTGTACTGTTACAGGCTTGTACTTTCAGACCATAATAGATTACACAATCACTACACAAACTTAAATATATATGTCTAAAAGTTTTTGAATCTGATTAAATGCAGCTCAGTAATATGTGAATAGTTTTGATGTATTTATTTATTAACATATTCTTGCTCTTTAACCTTTACTGTATTTATCTTTTCTCTATAAAAGTTTTTTTTTAATACTAAGCCAGCAACCAATTACTTTGGGTTAAACACTTCTAATGTGTACCTTTTGACTTGACTTTTCTCCCTAGATCTCCCCAGTATGAGTGATCCAACTAGAAATACATGCTGTAACTAGTGAAGCTTTACGGTTCATTGGATCTTTCTTTCACCTTACCCCAAGTGATGACTAACAAGATGTTGTCATTATTATTTTTAAATAATTTCAAAACTAATTTTTAAGAGAAGAAAAAAAAAAACAATCTTATATTAAGTAAAAACAACTTACCCAGTAAGCCTTCACCAACTGGACCACCAAAACCATCATCTTTTAATGGTGCATCAAGTGACATATTCAATTTATTAGCAGGGATTGAATGATTACTTATATTTTGTGACATATTATTAGTATCATCAGGCTTTTCTTTATTTTTATCCTCTCCTAGAAGAAGACTGGCATGATCAAAACCTTCATCAATGTTTGTTGCATCTCGAGCCATTTCAGGGTCATCAAAGCCCATATCTCCTAGAATACAATAACATAATTAATTAGTTTTCATTATGAAATTGTAACTGTACAATAAACTTATTATATTTTTACAAAATATTTAACTTCTTTTACTTTATTAAATAATTATATAAAAAAATATATCTGAAAAAATAAGATGGTGATTAAAATATATACATTATACAAAAAAGTCAATACATAAATTATTAAAACAACAGAAGACAGAAAAAAGAAATTTTCTTCATTTGGTGTTATATAAAGTATAAATTAAAAAAACAAATTTTATTGTATTTCATAAAGCAAGTTATAAGTAACACTTTTATACACCATACATAAAAATATTGATTACATCCAGCTCCATGAAATACAGTAATCAAGAAAATTGGCTTATTTCCTTCTGATTAATTATTATTAAATAATACTAATAAAAAATTTAAAATAAATGCTAGTATCTTTTAAAATATAATTTCCAAAAATAGGATTCCTATTGATAATAATGTACTTTTAGTATGAAGGATTTGATACACAATAACCTCTTTGAAAATTGTTATCTGGAAATCATTTAGGTTAGTGTTTTCCAACCCATGTGTCATGGAAATATTAAATTTTTTTTTAAATTTTGAATAAGCTCTTTTTTTAAAATTTCATTTATCTTTCATCTTTTTACTATTGCCTCAAATAGAGGAGAAGGTATTCACTAAAATGTTGACTGTTGCAAAATTTGTGGCATCAGCATACCTTCCTCACAAAAGTTGCATGCACCTATGCATATGTTAGCTGTACCAACTCCTTGGAACTTATATAAACATTGCAGCTTACCAGCTTAAAGACTGATAGTAGCTTTATATACATTTACAAAATATACTATAAAAATAAAAAGACTATATGAATCAATGTATGAGTTTTTAAGTTTCCCTTTGTAAGTTTAACTTTTGTAATATCAAAATTTTTAAAATCAACTGTAATTTATTTTAAACTTTCCTTATCAACTATTATCCCAGAATAAAGAAATTATGGAAACAACAGGCACAAATATTACATTAGGATTAAGACTTTTTTTTGGTGATTTTTGTTAAATAAATAACTTTTTTAAATTACACTTGGTTCCATAATATTTGATACAATTAGTTCTTCATAATACACAAAAACATACCAGGTCAGTTCAAAAAATAACCAAACTTTATTTTTTTAACTTTTATTCTTCAAGTTACAGATTATTGGTCTTTGTCCCCTCCATAGTACTCTCCTTCCCTATTCACACATTTATCCCAGTGTGTTTCCACTTTGCAAAGCAGTCCTGGTAAGCTTGTTTCGGACTGCCCTTCAATGTTTGTGACAAAATTGTTTTAATGTCATCAACTGTGTCAAAACAGCATCCTTTCAGCACTGATTTTAATTTTGAAAACAAGAAAAAATCACAGGAGCCAGTTTTTTCACTCAGTTGTTTCAAAACACCTTTGTAGTACTGACGGTTGACTGTTTGACCTTGAGGCAAAATTTCAAAGCATACAGTACAACTCAGATTTTCTGAATGTGAGTGTCATCAGTTGAGGTTGAAGGCTTTCCTGGGGCTTTAGTTCAAATTTTTCATATTGTACTCGAACTGACATCATTGAATTCACTCGTGTTACTATAACTCACATAATTGATAGTCTCTAGTTAGACCCATCGAGCAAACTCGAAAGGCGAGCAGAAATACATCATACTCACTTGGTTACATATACTGTTAAGCATGATGAGATTATTTACAATGCATCTGGGTTTGCAACTATAATGATTTGACCAATCAACTTAACTGTAACAAGTTGTAAACAAATCAACGTGGAATGAGCAGCTCACTTGCCAATCAATTAACTCCACAAAACAAAAAGAATAAAAATTGATAATATAAATTATTTTTTTAAATTCCCTTTAAACTTTAAATTTAAATAAACATTGCAGAATGTATTTTTATATATTGTCATATTAAAGCATAGCTTTAATATAGTCATAATATTGTCATATTATATGTCATATTGTAATATATTATCACATATTCTCATATTGTAATATCGTCATATTAAAGCATAGCTTTAATATGACGATATTATGACTATATTACAATATATTTTATTATGACTAATATGACTAATATATATTATGACTAATTTTATATATTGTCACATTAAAGCTATGCTTTAATATGACAATATATAAAATTAGTTATGTGAAAAATTTGAAAATAATGATGTTTATATTAAGGATTTACAAATGGAGTTAGTTGATTTGTCCTGTGAATGGCTCAATTATTACAAAGAATTGCTTTTAGCCCTTGGTTTAATTAAATTAATTAAATATCTACTAATGTGAGGTAGATAATAAGGACTTATCACACCAGTGATAATAAGCACAAACACTCAGGTATCAATGTAGTACATTTAATAAAACAAAAGGGGTGTGCATTAAAACTCAATTAGATGAGTAATTAACATGAAATAATCAAAATGCATTTCGGACTATCGGAATAGTCCCTCTTCAGTTGATATTAATATAAAAAGGTTATAATACTTAAAATTATACAAGACAAACAACTGCTATAAAGGTATGATCAGTGAACATTAAATGGGTGCAGAGGAGACAGACATAAGGCAGCATCATAATGCTACAAGGTAGCTTGACATAAGGGTTACATAACAGTAGGAAGATGGAGTTTGAAGGTGATATTACTACAAGGTGCATTATGAGCAGTTGTGCAACATGTGGCCAAGCATATGTGCATTATGCAAGATGCAGCATTATGAAGGAGGTGTGGAACAACATGTTGCACAACTGGTAAAAACCTACTTGGAAACACTTAAATGAGAAGTCCTACCCCACCTGCCGTATTCACCAGCACTTTCCAATTATCACTTGTTCCAATCACTGGCACAATTATCACTTCCAATTATCACTTGTTCCAATCGATGGCACATGGCCTGGCTGAGCAGCATTTTCATTCTTACGAAGATGCCAAAAAATAGGTTGATTCTTGGATTACCTCAAAAGACGTGTTGTTTTTCCAATGTGGAATTCAAATACTGCCAGAACGATGGAAGAAAGCAGTGGCTAGTGATGGACAATACTTTCAGTGATATGTTTTTTACCATTTTTTTTAAATAAAGCATTAATTTCCATGAAAAAACAGTGAAATCGTATTCAAGGACCCAATAGTTTCACACAAAACTGCACACTGCAAAAATTCACCACAAACAATGAAACACTTTTCATTCAAAAAACAATAACATGGAATGAAATGTGATACAGTAGAGCCTCAAAAACTCGGCCTAATGTGGACTGAAGGGTGGCCGAGTTTGTGAAAATGCCGGGTTATCGGGAATGGGGTTAAAAAAATAAGTATGAGTGTTTCCTCAGAAAATACTGTACTGTACTTGTATGTATTGTTTACTTGAGAATACAACAGAGAATAAACTGCCCAAATACCCTTAAACAAAGGAAAAGTACGTCTTTTATGAAGGCATAGAGCCTTTACTACATGAAAATGAAAATGAATGAATACACTGTACAGTAATTTACCTGATAAGACAGACCTTAGAAAAATACTTTATGAGGCATAAAGCTGTCTTTATCATGAAAATTAATTAACTAAGGATTTTTTTGCCCTGCCAGGGTGTGGCCAAGTTATCCGGAGTGCCGAGTTTTCGAGGCTCTACTGTATCAACAATCCAAAAACAAGCAGCTTACTCAGTAGGTTATCACTAACATAGCATTGACAATTTCACAACACTAGCACACTCCATTTTTGCCCAATTCAAAAAGTTTGGTTATTTTTTGAACAGACCTCATATATGATAGTGTATTACGAATGTGACAATTTTAAACATTTTTATTTGAAAAATTATAGTGTATCAAGAATCTTATTAAATTCATGGCATGTTGCAAATACAAAAAGATTGGAAAACACTGATTTGGGTTACAAATGTCACAGTTGAACAACTATATTAATTGATCTGAAAATTCAAATCATTTTTTTTTATTTAAAAATAAGATGATATTTAATTTTCATATAACTTTTTAGTCTTATAAATTCCAATATCTGCCAATAAAAAAAAAACATTATACTACATAAGCATGTGTTACAGTAGCATATAGTTCAGGAATTTTTTCTTTAATAATAAATCATAGTTAGAATAAATAATTTTTCATAATAAATCAGTTTTTAATCATTATTATAATTTAAAACAATCTATTTTAATTTGATAAAATAATGTGTATAACCAATAGAAAATTCAAATATGAAATATGCTGATATAATCAAAGAACATTTTAATCACATTAATAACTAAAATGTTCAATCATAATAAAATTTTATTTCCTCTATCATACTTTTGGTAATTATATAAAAATTCTATTATTGTTAAACATTAAATACTTTAGAAAAAAGAAAATCTAATCTAATTTTCTATTTACTAAATTATACTAACTTTCCTATTATTCCTACAAATGCAAAACTTGTTATGATATATCAAAAGAAGTATTAAGTATTAACAAGTAAAAATAAATTATATTAAATATATTAATAAAATGTTTGTAAACAAATCTAAAATTGAAGATATATAATAAAATCTTATTACCAAATCCATCATCTGTCATGAGAGTTAAACTTCCATAATCTTCTTTAAGAGTTATATCTTCTGCTCTGCTTTGATTTAAAGTAAGTGGCGCTTCCATATCAATGCTAAAATTTAGTTAAAAAAACATTTATATATAACCTTTATAAAATTAATGTTTTAATAAATTATAGTCAAGAATCCTAATAAATAAAACCAATTGATATTTCATTATAACCAAAATTAAACCAAAATCTAGTTGAATTTACAATTATTATTTAAAGTGTTTTATAAACATCATAAAAAAATCTAAGAAAACAATATATTTTACTATTAATAATATTTGTTGCTTTGTAATATTATTTATGCATATTTTAAAAATAATGGAACATACATAGAATTAGTTTGTTGATTATATTAAATAGTATTAAAGAAGAGCAAATTTAATTGATTTCTTTCACTAGATTAGCTGTGCTTGAATCCAAATTTAAAACATAAAAATTATATTTTCAATTATGATTCTAACATTTGGAATGTTAAACTTGGAATAAATTTTATTCCAAGTTTAAAATGCTCAGTATCTAAAAAAACAGCATAAAAAATGAAAGTTCTGAAATACATGTAAAAAGTTATTAAGCCTTTAAATTATTTGATATTCAGTAACTACAAATTTAAAATGAGCATTTTCTTTTATAAAATTAGATGCATTAGGTTATTTTAAATTTATATTATTATAAAAAAGTATTATTACTGAACCATTATTTATAATCACCAAATATTACATGACAGAATTAAATTATTTTTTATTGTAATCATTATAAAAAATATAATTAAGCTGTATAATAACATAACATTTTGAAATATTTATTACACTTTTAATGCAAATTTAATTTACAATTACCATATTTTTAAAAATTAGTATTATTGTTGTTTTAAATATTTCAAATATGAAAACAAATGAAATAAAATCATTCATAAATTAGTTTTTGAAAAAAATATATTAATTTGAAAAACTCACTTTATGTCTGGCATTGCAGTATCAAAATCATGAAAAACTTCTGGTAATGTAATTGTAGCAACAGCAGCTTCACGATTTTCCTCAGGAAGATCAACTACACCAGGACGGAAAGCCATTTTGATTTTAATGAAAGCTTCATTGCAATCAGCTAATAAATATTTTGCTTTTCTTGAATATATACGGACAATCCCAAGTAAAAGATGTCCAGAAGTTCGTAGAGCCATTTTTACCTAATAACAAAGAACAATTTTACTGTCATACCTTTTTCTTTAAAAATTTAAACAAAGTAACAACTTTCGAGTTAACTTATTTTTAAATACTGAAATGTGTCAAATGTTTTCATAGAAGAATATTTACTTGAACATTTCTGGCATTCTAATAATTCCACATTTATTAAGATTTTATTTAAGCAAAAACAGAGTATGCTTTCATTTAAAAACTGCATTTCTTTTTCTTCTTAACAAAGACTTTCTAATCATAAATTTTAGACTAATTATAAAAAAAATTCACAAAATTAAAGACTATACAATAAAACAGTCTTCTTTTATCCTTTTCTTACACTCGTGGCTCCACACCATAAGTTATAATATCAAATAATTTCTTATTTGGAATATGTCCTTGGAATTAGAAAAAGAGAAATTATTTTTTACAATAAAATTTTAAAATGATTTTTACAAAAAATTAAATGACAGAAATTGTAAAAAATGATAATATAGGCATACCTCAGTTAATGGAACCACTTAATTGTATTAATTTTATAAAATACAATGGGATAATAAGTTTCATAAACAAGAGCTTGGTATTTCACAGGCTCACTTATATTAAGTGATCTTACTGAAATAGATGCCAGGTGGATAGAAGAACCAGTAGTTACTAACTATATGCATGCTATAAGACATATAAATAAGTAGACTACATACCAATAATAAGGAAAGATAAAATGTGCAGCCCACACTTCTATTTGCACTATCTATTTCTTTGAAATATTCATAACTAGTAAAACAATGCTTCTCTGCAAAGTTGTAGTATTAGCTTTTGATCTGGAGTTACTGTAGTTCTGTGATAATTAGATACTATCTTCTTCATAGATCTATCATACAAAGAAACTGCTTTTTTAAAGGAAAGTCATTTTTTAATGTTTTCAGCAGAAATGCATTTCACGCTGTACCCCTTCTCAACAGTCTGTTTTGATTTATGTTTACAATGTTTTTAACAAAAAATATATATATATTTAAAATTCTGTAATTGATTTATAAAATCTAGATGAGCTTTAAAATAAAAATGAATGATACTATAAATTATATAAATATATAAAATAATATATAAAAGTTAAAACTTTGTATACTATTTAAACTAGAATGTAAAACAGTGATGTAAATAAAATAAAAATTAATAAAAATGAAGGATAAAAACTTAGTAAAAAAATGTGTAAAACACTAAAAAGGACAATGACCAATGAGTGTAAGATCATTGTGTTTTTAATATTTTATTCATTTTTTCAAACCTGTCAAAAATGGCAGATATCTTGATGATACTCAGTAAGTGAGAAGTTTCAGAATCAGCTCTCTGATGGCTATAGGAAATTTTATTGGTAGTTGCATTTGTTCTAGAGTTCTATACCATTAATATTTTTGTTGTTCTATCTAAAAGAAGCTCACCTTCATTTGGATTAAAAGCTCACCTCTCTGGAACAAAAAGCTGAGTTTTTTTGCAATGTCTTGCTTGGAAATTTTTTAACTGAGGTTAAGTTCTTAGTGAATGAGATATCTATAAAAATGATCCAGATTCTCATCTCTTAGATATCTTAAAAAAATTACCTAAAAATTAAAAGTTTTTAAAAAATTTAAATAGACTTTTATGGAAGAACTTTTTGAAATTTCTGATGCACAGTAATCCTTGGATGAAATTTTCTTCCAAAGATTACTATTTTAAACTAAATTACTTTACTCTCTCTAATAATAAATATACTGTCACAGTATTAGACACTTCATCACTTGCTCAAGATTCATTTTCCATTTTTCCTATTATTGATTCCAGTGATTGCTTTTCTTAAGAAAGCTTAACTTACTCAATAAANGTACCTTTTGACTTGACTTTTCTCCCTAGATCTCCCCAGTATGAGTGATCCAACTAGAAATACATGCTGTAACTAGTGAAACTTTACGGTTCATTGGATCTTTCTTTCACCTTACCCCAAGTGATGACTAACAAGATGTTGTCATTATTATTTTTAAATAATTTCAAAACTAATTTTTAAGAGAAAAAAAAAAAAAACAATCTTATATTAAGTAAAAACAACTTACCCAGTAAGCCTTCACCAACTGGACCACCAAAACCATCATCTTTTAATGGTGCATCAAGTGACATATTCAATTTATTAGCAGGGATTGAATGATTACTTATATTTTGTGACATATTATTAGTATCATCAGGCTTTTCTTTATTTTTATCCTCTCCTAGAAGAAGACTGGCATGATCAAAACCTTCATCAATGTTTGTTGCATCTCGAGCCATTTCAGGGTCATCAAAGCCCATATCTCCTAGAATACAATAACATAATTAATTAGTTTTCATTATGAAATTGTAACTGTACAATAAAATTATTATATTTTTACAAAATATTTAACTTCTTTTACTTTATTAAATAATTATATAAAAAAATATATCTGAAAAAATAAGATGGTGATTAAAATATATACATTATACAAAAAAGTCAATACATAAATTATTAAAACAACAGAAGACAGAAAAAAGAAATTTTCTTCATTTGGTGTTATATAAAGTATAAATTAAAAAAACAAATTTTATTGTATTTCATAAAGCAAGTTATAAGTAACACTTTTATACACCATACATAAAAATATTGATTACATCCAGCTCCATGAAATACAGTAATCAAGAAAATTGGCTTATTTCCTTCTGATTAATTATTATTAAATAATACTAATAAAAAATTTAAAATAAATGCTAGTATCTTTTAAAATATAATTTCCAAAAATAGGATTCCTATTGATAATAATGTACTTTTAGTATGAAGGATTTGATACACAATAACCTCTTTGAAAATTGTTATCTGGAAATCATTTAGGTTAGTGTTTTCCAACCCATGTGTCATGGAAATATTAAATTTTTTTTTAAATTTTGAATAAGCTCTTTTTTTAAAATTTCATTTATCTTTCATCTTTTTACCATTGCCTCAAATAGAGGAGAAGGTATTCACTAAAATGTTGACTGTTGCAAAATTTGTGGCATCAGCATACCTTCCTCACAAAAGTTGCATGCACCTATGCATATGTTAGCTGTACCAACTCCTTGGAACTTATATAAACATTGCAGCTTACCAGCTTAAAGACTGATAGTAGCTTTATATACATTTACAAAATATACTATAAAAATAAAAAGACTATATGAATCAATGTATGAGTTTTTAAGTTTCCCTTTGTAAGTTTAACTTTTGTAATATCAAAATTTTTAAAATCAACTGTAATTTATTTTAAACTTTCCTTATCAACTATTATCCCAGAATAAAGAAATTATGGAAACAACAGGCACAAATATTACATTAGGATTAAGACTTTTTTTTGGTGATTTTTGTTAAATAAATAACTTTTTTAAATTACACTTGGTTCCATAATATTTGATACAATTAGTTCTTCATAATACACAAAAACATACCAGGTCAGTTCAAAAAATAACCAAACTTTATTTTTTTAACTTTTATTCTTCAAGTTACAGATTATTGGTCTTTGTCCCCTCCATAGTACTCTCCTTCCCTATTCACACATTTATCCCAGTGTGTTTCCACTTTGCAAAGCAGTCCTGGTAAGCTTGTTTCGGACTGCCCTTCAATGTTTGTGACAAAATTGTTTTAATGTCATCAACTGTGTCAAAACAGCATCCTTTCAGCACTGATTTTAATTTTGAAAACAAGAAAAAATCACAGGAGCCAGTTTTTTCACTCAGTTGTTTCAAAACACCTTTGTAGTACTGACAGTTGACTGTTTGACCTTGAGGCAAAATTTCAAAGCATACAGTACAACTCAGATTTTCTGAATGTGAGTGTCATCAGTTGAGGTTGAAGGCTTTCCTGGGGCTTTAGTTCGAATTTTTCATATTGTACTCGAACTGACATCATTGAATTCACTCGTGTTACTATAACTCACATAATTGATAGTCTCTAGTTAGACCCATCGAGCAAACTCGAAAGGCGAGCAGAAATACATCATACTCACTTGGTTACATATACTGTTAAGCATGATGAGATTATTTACAATGCATCTGGGTTTGCAACTATAATGATTTGACCAATCAACTTAACTGTAACAAGTTGTAAACAAATCAACGTGGAATGAGCAGCTCACTTGCCAATCAATTAACTCCACAAAACAAAAAGAATAAAAATTGATAATATAAATTATTTTTTTAAATTCCCTTTAAACTTTAAATTTAAATAAACATTGCAGAATGTATTTTTATATATTGTCATATTAAAGCATAGCTTTAATATAGTCATAATATTGTCATATTATATGTCATATTGTAATATATTATCACATATTCTCATATTGTAATATCGTCATATTAAAGCATAGCTTTAATATGACGATATTATGACTATATTACAATATATTTTATTATGACTAATATGACTAATATATATTATGACTAATTTTATATATTGTCACATTAAAGCTATGCTTTAATATGACAATATATAAAATTAGTTATGTGAAAAATTTGAAAATAATGATGTTTATATTAAGGATTTACAAATGGAGTTAGTTGATTTGTCCTGTGAATGGCTCAATTATTACAAAGAATTGCTTTTAGCCCTTGGTTTAATTAAATTAATTAAATATCTACTAATGTGAGGTAGATAATAAGGACTTATCACACCAGTGATAATAAGCACAAACACTCAGGTATCAATGTAGTACATTTAATAAAACAAAAGGGGTGTGCATTAAAACTCAATTAGATGAGTAATTAACATGAAATAATCAAAATGCATTTCGGACTATCGGAATAGTCCCTCTTCAGTTGATATTAATATAAAAAGGTTATAATACTTAAAATTATACAAGACAAACAACTGCTATAAAGGTATGATCAGTGAACATTAAATGGGTGCAGAGGAGACAGACATAAGGCAGCATCATAATGCTACAAGGTAGCTTGACATAAGGGTTACATAACAGTAGGAAGATGGAGTTTGAAGGTGATATTACTACAAGGTGCATTATGAGCAGTTGTGCAACATGTGGCCAAGCATATGTGCATTATGCAAGATGCAGCATTATGAAGGAGGTGTGGAACAACATGTTGCACAACTGGTANAAATTAAAAGTTTTTAAAAAATTTAAATAGACTTTTATGGAAGAACTTTTTGAAATTTCTGATGCACAGTAATCCTTGGATGAAATTTTCTTCCAAAGATTACTATTTTAAACTAAATTACTTTACTCTCTCTAATAATAAATATACTGTCACAGTATTAGACACTTCATCACTTGCTCAAGATTCATTTTCCATTTTTCCTATTATTGATTCCAGTGATTGCTTTTCTTAAGAAAGCTTAACTTACTCAATAAAAATTTTTAATATTTAACTAAATTAATACTTTCCACATCATGGCCTATTGATGCATTTGATCCCTACAATTCAGCTAGGTTTGATAACATTTTCCAATTCATTTACAATTTCAAGATGATGATTTTACTTCCATCCTTTGTCAAATTAATCATGTCAATTTGGTTTTTAATTACATATCCTTGGCTTAGAAATAATATATTCTTTACTTCTAAAGAAAATAAGGAATCCAAATTGCATCTTAAATTCAGTCATAAAAGTTCTGAGAATTCTAAATTTTCTTGAAAAATTCTCTCTCTCTCTCTACCAGTGAGTCCTTTACCACAATAATTAAAATATGATATTTCCATTGAAAATCCATAATACCATTTAAGAGAGAAATTTAAAATGACATTTATATCTACATGCATACATGCAAATGATATTTATCCCATCTTAACTATGGATTTTCACATCCTCTAATGATTAATTTTATACAAGATTAGTTAAAAATTAAAAAAAAAAATGTATCTGTTATTGTGTTCAGTAATTTTTCTATATCATCAATTATGATTCATTAAATTTTCAACTTTATTCCATTTTTTAATTTGGAATTAAAAGCAACTGTAATCTTTTAATACAGTTTTGAACTATACTTTGATATGAAGAATTTACTAAAAGGAGTTTGTGATGTGATTATTTGAGCAGTTGCAAACGAAAGTAGTTTAAGTCCATTTATTTTTAAATCAAGATATTTAAAGGTTTGCATTTGTATTGATTCAAAAATATTAGTAATTGATAATATGTTGGAATTATGTTTTCCTTATTTTAAAAACATCTAAATTTATTGCATAATAAATTTTATGGTTATTATTCAAAAAATATGATACTTCTATTGGCCATAAATAAACTTTTCAAACATAAAAAAACTCAATTAATTACTTTTGAAAGGATAAGTCCACTTTGTATTATTGCCATACTATTATTTTTAATTACTTGTTTTGTGTAAAATATCATTAGATAAACTCAATATCATTGTTTTGTGATTCTTTTAATTATTATTTTTTACAATAAAATTTTAAAATGATTTTTACAAAAAATTAAATGACAGAAATTGTAAAAAATGATAATATAGGCATACCTCAGTTAATGGTACCTCTGGTAATAAAGCCTCGATATAATGATGTCTGTAATTTCCAGCCACATTTAACGTAAAAATATTAAAATTTCAAGATCAACACCCAGAAGTCATCTAATTGCCAAATGATGACAACTTGTCAAGTATTCCAAGTTATAGATGTGTCTGTTTTAACAGTTTCATGCGTCATCAAAATAATTTAGTTGTTGCTTACACTTCATAAGGTGTGTTTCAGTATGGTGTACTACAATAATTGAGGTATGAAGAAAAGAATAAATTGTGCTAGAAGAAAATAACATTCAATAGATTAGAAATGAAGATGCCTCAATCAACAGGTTTTGAAAATTTGGACAAAGAGGATGTATGAAATTTATTAAATGCAAAAGATAATATGTGGTTTTTCAGTGGAAGATCTAGGAAAAACTTGTTAACAACAAAGCAAAAAAAGAAAACAAAAATGAAATTAAAGAAGTGCCCTACCAAAAAAATGTTAGCAGCCAAAATTTAAAAAGATTGTTTAAATGACATTGAAAACTATCATGATTTAGGAAGAAGTGTTATTGTTAGTTAGGTTGAAGTGTTAGGAATCAGTGTTAATTGCAACAAATCTGTAGAGGTAATTGTTAAATGAAAGAGAATGAACAATTATTTATTGTAACATAGTCACAATTCCAAGCTACAATTTTTTGCTACAATGTTCTCAATTTTTTTTAGTAGTGCCTTGTCCCTATACATCTTACTTTTCCTGTTAGCAAGAGTCATGCCCATGCAGTCATTATTTAATTCCAGTCAGGAAAAAATTTTTGAAGTAAATTCACTTCTGGTCTAGACCAGAAGTTCATGTATTGTTAATAATCAGGGTCTCCTGCCCTCAAGCTTTCCCTATCTGGTCTCAACTTTCAGCTATCTAATTCTGTTCTTGAGATTAAGGAAGGACAAACAATAGAAAGACGACAGTGGGAATTGTAAGACCTAAGGTCTACAATTTTTTCTATTTCAGCCCAAAAATAAGCATAAATTAATCAATTTTAGATTCCTATTTTAAAATGTCATGATTTTATACTTGTTTCAAATGTGATATTGACTATTTAAAAAAAAAAAGCTTTAAAGTCTTTCATTTTCTTTATGTAAGAACATATCCTTATTAGGGCCATAGTATTTTTATCTTTGAGAATTAAGTTTCGCCTAATAGTAATTTCATGGAATGTATCCTCTTTGTTAATTGAGGTATGCCTATATTAACAAGAAAATAATATATTTTTGTTTCATAGAGATAAATGTTTATTCATTTTTAAGAGATCAAACTCAAATTATTGTTGATAACTTATAATTCGTTTTTCTTCTCATCTAGAATGTGTGTGAGAGTTTTGAAATAATCGTAGTGCATAGGAAGTATAAACCATAATAACTTCATCATGTCCTTGTATTTACATGTTGAAATTGGTTTTTACATTTTTATATAATGGTGTTAGCTCATTAAAATTTCTTAATCTTCCCCAATGCAGTAATAAATTAAGAATTTTGAATTCTGCATCCTCTATCATTGATGTTTTATAAAACATCTTATAACATTCACTTCTTAAAAATCATATCCAACATATCTAACAAATTTATAGGCTTTCCATCAGTATTTCTTAATTTTTTTTTAAATTGCCTCCTTTAAAGGTTTAGTTGAAAAGAAATCATCTTGTTTCATTTCATTCAATATAAAGTTATTCTTTTTCCAATTTTTACAATTTCAAACACTAGCTAATTATCTATTAACAAAATATTGGTGATTCTGAAGATCTTGATTACAAATTGTTTAAAAATAATTGCAGAGAATTGTAACTAATGTCATCATTAGCTCAATTTTTTAAAAATGGACTTAAACCACTTTCATTTGCAATGACTCATTTTATTCCATCTACTTTTTCCCTTACATGAATCTTTATACAAGTACAAACTGAAGTGCCAAAAAATTAGAGACAACTACCTAATAATGCGTCGCTCCTCACTGAGCCAGAATAACAGCAGCTACATGACTGGCATAGACCCTATGAGGTGTCTAAGTTATTGCACAGATATTTCAATCCAGACATGGTCAATGGTTGCATTTTTTAATTCAGTTGTATTTGTTGGAGAGTTCTATGAGGCATTGAGTGATGTTTGTGCAGTGTCCCATAAATTCTCTATAGGATTCAAGTCAGTCAAAAGACCTGAAAATCTGTCAAGTACTCCTCAAACCATTGTTGTGCCACCTGTACTGAGGGGGGTAGCATTATCCTGCTGGTACAAACCATCACTGTTGAGGAACATAGCAAGCATAAAGGGATGTAATACATCTGCTATGAGATTAGTACATAGCACCTGTCAAAGTCAACTGCAGTCTCACCATTAGTCCTTATTCATGCCAACAGAACACACTCCAAAACAGGACAGAGCCACACCTTGCTGACATGATGAATCCATGGCTTTGTGTGGTTGTCATCACACATGAACATGGCCATCAGCTCAAAATAGCTGAAAATAAAATTTGTCTGACCACACAACCCAGCACCAGTCATTCATTGTCCATTTTCAATGTTCTCTGGCTCAGGTGAGGCACACTGCCTGATGCCTGGGTTTTAGTAGTGGTACATGAATGGGTCAACAACTACCAAACTCCAAGTAATGCATTATATGTTGTGCAGTTCACTGACTGATAAGTTCAGCAGTGCCCATGTTTGTCAGATGTAATATGGTACAGAGTTGCCCTTTGTTGCATAGTTGCTAACTTAATTAGCCACATTCTTGCATCCAGCTGTGGACACTTGCTCTGTACACATGCTGCTGATGTCTGTCCAAATTTAAGTGTGTCCCAGTAAACCCTTGAAACTGTTGCGTGAGAAAATCCAAGAGTTTTGACCACCTCACTGATAGAATGACTCATTCTTCTTGCTTCAACAATCTGTCTTTAATCAAATATTGATAAATCCTTTACAAGACCCACTGTTACTCTAACCAAGCTCACATAACCAATAAGTATCATATCTATGGTGTCACATGCAAATCTTCCAGTTTAAAGCATTTCCTCTGTGGGTAGAAAGTAACAACATTGCATGTGCTGCTGTCTAATTTTTTTGCATGTCATATAAAATATCTGATAATCTGTTTATCTAAATGGAATATNATTAAAGCTATGCTTTAATATGACAATATATAAAATTAGTTATGTGAAAAATTTGAAAATAATGATGTTTATATTAAGGATTTACAAATGGAGTTAGTTGATTTGTCCTGTGAATGGCTCAATTATTACAAAGAATTGCTTTTAGCCCTTGGTTTAATTAAATTAATTAAATATCTACTAATGTGAGGTAGATAATAAGGACTTATCACACCAGTGATAATAAGCACAAACACTCAGGTATCAATGTAGTACATTTAATAAAACAAAAGGGGTGTGCATTAAAACTCAATTAGATGAGTAATTAACATGAAATAATCAAAATGCATTTCGGACTATCGGAATAGTCCCTCTTCAGTTGATATTAATATAAAAAGGTTATAATACTTAAAATTATACAAGACAAACAACTGCTATAAAGGTATGATCAGTGAACATTAAATGGGTGCAGAGGAGACAGACATAAGGCAGCATCATAATGCTACAAGGTAGCTTGACATAAGGGTTACATAACAGTAGGAAGATGGAGTTTGAAGGTGATATTACTACAAGGTGCATTATGAGCAGTTGTGCAACATGTGGCCAAGCATATGTGCATTATGCAAGATGCAGCATTATGAAGGAGGTGTGGAACAACATGTTGCACAACTGGTAAAAACCTACTTGGAAACACTTAAATGAGAAGTCCTACCCCACCTGCCGTATTCACCAGCACTTTCCAATTATCACTTGTTCCAATCACTGGCACAATTATCACTTCCAATTATCACTTGTTCCAATCGATGGCACATGGCCTGGCTGAGCAGCATTTTCATTCTTACGAAGATGCCAAAAAATAGGTTGATTCTTGGATTACCTCAAAAGACGTGTTGTTTTTCCAATGTGGAATTCAAATACTGCCAGAACGATGGAAGAAAGCAGTGGCTAGTGATGGACAATACTTTCAGTGATATGTTTTTTACCATTTTTTTTAAATAAAGCATTAATTTCCATGAAAAAACAGTGAAATCGTATTCAAGGACCCAATAGTTTCACACAAAACTGCACACTGCAAAAATTCACCACAAACAATGAAACACTTTTCATTCAAAAAACAATAACATGGAATGAAATGTGATACAGTAGAGCCTCAAAAACTCGGCCTAATGTGGACTGAAGGGTGGCCGAGTTTGTGAAAATGCCGGGTTATCGGGAATGGGGTTTAAAAAATAAGTATGAGTGTTTCCTCAGAAAATACTGTACTGTACTTGTATGTATTGTTTACTTGAGAATACAACAGAGAATAAACTGCCCAAATACCCTTAAACAAAGGAAAAGTACGTCTTTTATGAAGGCATAGAGCCTTTACTACATGAAAATGAAAATGAATGAATACACTGTACAGTAATTTACCTGATAAGACAGACCTTAGAAAAATACTTTATGAGGCATAAAGCTGTCTTTATCATGAAAATTAATTAACTAAGGATTTTTTTGCCCTGCCAGGGTGTGGCCAAGTTATCCGGAGTGCCGAGTTTTCGAGGCTCTACTGTATCAACAATCCAAAAACAAGCAGCTTACTCAGTAGGTTATCACTAACATAGCATTGACAATTTCACAACACTAGCACACTCCATTTTTGCCCAATTCAAAAAGTTTGGTTATTTTTTGAACAGACCTCATATATGATAGTGTATTACGAATGTGACAATTTTAAACATTTTTATTTGAAAAATTATAGTGTATCAAGAATCTTATTAAATTCATAGCATGTTGCAAATACAAAAAGATTGGAAAACACTGATTTGGGTTACAAATGTCACAGTTGAACAACTATATTAATTGATCTGAAAATTCAAATCATTTTTTTTTATTTAAAAATAAGATGATATTTAATTTTCATATAACTTTTTAGTCTTATAAATTCCAATATCTGCCAATAAAAAAAAAACATTATACTACATAAGCATGTGTTACAGTAGCATATAGTTCAGGAATTTTTTCTTTAATAATAAATCATAGTTAGAATAAATAATTTTTCATAATAAATCAGTTTTTAATCATTATTATAATTTAAAACAATCTATTTTAATTTGATAAAATAATGTGTATAACCAATAGAAAATTCAAATATGAAATATGCTGATATAATCAAAGAACATTTTAATCACATTAATAACTAAAATGTTCAATCATAATAAAATTTTATTTCCTCTATCATACTTTTGGTAATTATATAAAAATTCTATTATTGTTAAACATTAAATACTTTAGAAAAAAGAAAATCTAATCTAATTTTCTATTTACTAAATTATACTAACTTTCCTATTATTCCTACAAATGCAAAACTTGTTATGATATATCAAAAGAAGTATTAAGTATTAACAAGTAAAAATAAATTATATTAAATATATTAATAAAATGTTTGTAAACAAATCTAAAATTGAAGATATATAATAAAATCTTATTACCAAATCCATCATCTGTCATGAGAGTTAAACTTCCATAATCTTCTTTAAGAGTTATATCTTCTGCTCTGCTTTGATTTAAAGTAAGTGGCGCTTCCATATCAATGCTAAAATTTAGTTAAAAAAACATTTATATATAACCTTTATAAAATTAATGTTTTAATAAATTATAGTCAAGAATCCTAATAAATAAAACCAATTGATATTTCATTATAACCAAAATTAAACCAAAATCTAGTTGAATTTACAATTATTATTTAAAGTGTTTTATAAACATCATAAAAAAATCTAAGAAAACAATATATTTTACTATTAATAATATTTGTTGCTTTGTAATATTATTTATGCATATTTTAAAAATAATGGAACATACATAGAATTAGTTTGTTGATTATATTAAATAGTATTAAAGAAGAGCAAATTTAATTGATTTCTTTCACTAGATTAACTGTGCTTGAATCCAAATTTAAAACATAAAAATTATATTTTCAATTATGATTCTAACATTTGGAATGTTAAACTTGGAATAAATTTTATTCCAAGTTTAAAATGCTCAGTATCTAAAAAAACAGCATAAAAAATGAAAGTTCTGAAATACATGTAAAAAGTTATTAAGCCTTTAAATTATTTGATATTCAGTAACTACAAATTTAAAATGAGCATTTTCTTTTATAAAATTAGATGCATTAGGTTATTTTAAATTTATATTATTATAAAAAAGTATTATTACTGAACCATTATTTATAATCACCAAATATTACATGACAGAATTAAATTATTTTTTATTGTAATCATTATAAAAAATATAATTAAGCTGTATAATAACATAACATTTTGAAATATTTATTACACTTTTAATGCAAATTTAATTTACAATTACCATATTTTTAAAAATTAGTATTATTGTTGTTTTAAATATTTCAAATATGAAAACAAATGAAATAAAATCATTCATAAATTAGTTTTTGAAAAAAATATATTAATTTGAAAAACTCACTTTATGTCTGGCATTGCAGTATCAAAATCATGAAAAACTTCTGGTAATGTAATTGTAGCAACAGCAGCTTCACGATTTTCCTCAGGAAGATCAACTACACCAGGACGGAAAGCCATTTTGATTTTAATGAAAGCTTCATTGCAATCAGCTAATAAATATTTTGCTTTTCTTGAATATATACGGACAATCCCAAGTAAAAGATGTCCAGAAGTTCGTAGAGCCATTTTTACCTAATAACAAAGAACAATTTTACTGTCATACCTTTTTCTTTAAAAATTTAAACAAAGTAACAACTTTCGAGTTAACTTATTTTTAAATACTGAAATGTGTCAAATGTTTTCATAGAAGAATATTTACTTGAACATTTCTGGCATTCTAATAATTCCACATTTATTAAGATTTTATTTAAGCAAAAACAGAGTATGCTTTCATTTAAAAACTGCATTTCTTTTTCTTCTTAACAAAGACTTTCTAATCATAAATTTTAGACTAATTATAAAAAAAATTCACAAAATATATTTTTAAAAATAGAGTAGTTATAATAATCATTAATGAGCTATAAGTTAACCAAATAAAAACTAAAATCAAATAATTTCTTATTTGGAATATGTCCTTGGAATTAGAAAAAGAGAAATAAAAGATTTAAAAGTTATTTTATAATGCTTGAAAAGTCATTTATATGGAAAAAAATCTTACATATTAATTATATTATTGTTATTCATAAGAATATGTATTTTTAACCACTTAATTGTATTAATTTTATAAAATACAATGGGATAATAAGTTTCATAAACAAGAGCTTGGTATTTCACAGGCTCACTTATATTAAGTGATCTTACTGAAATAGATGCCAGGTGGATAGAAGAACCAGTAGTTACTAACTATATGCATGCTATAAGACATATAAATAAGTAGACTACATACCAATAATAAGGAAAGATAAAATGTGCAGCCCACACTTCTATTTGCACTATCTATTTCTTTGAAATATTCATAACTAGTAAAACAATGCTTCTCTGCAAAGCTGTAGTATTAGCTTTTGATCTGGAGTTACTGTAGTTCTGTGATAATTAGATACTATCTTCTTCATAGATCTATCATACAAAGAAACTGCTTTTTTAAAGGAAAGTCATTTTTTAATGTTTTCAGCAGAAATGCATTTCACGCTGTACCCCTTCTCAATAGTCTGTTTTGATTTATGTTTACAATGTTTTTAACAAAAAATATATATATATTTAAAATTCTGTAATTGATTTATAAAATCTAGATGAGCTTTAAAATAAAAATGAATGATACTATAAATTATATAAATATATAAAATAATATATAAAAATTAAAACTTTGTATACTATTAAAACCAGAATGTAAAAAATTGGTATATATAAAATAAAAATTAGTAAAAATGAAGGG